CGCCACGCCGCTTTTATAGCGTGCCAGAAGGGCCATGTTGACATCGCCCGGCTGCTGCGCGACGCTGGCGCGGCCGTCAACCAAGCAAACAACAACGGCTCCACGCCGCTGTTCAAGGGCAGCCAAAAAGGGTCACGTCGACATCGTCCGGCTGCTCCTTGAGACCGGCGCTTCGGTTAGCCAAGCCAGCGCCAGAGGCACCACGCCACTGTTCATGGCGTGCCAGAACGGCCACGTCGAGTGCGCCCTGCTGCTTCTCGACGCCGGCTCTTCGGTCAACCAAGCCCAGATCCAAGGCGCCACGCCGCTGCACGTGGCGTGCCAGAACAACCAACTCGGCATCGCCCAGCTGCTTCTCGAGGCCAGCGCGGCGATCAACCAAACCGACGAGCAAGGCGCCACGCCGTTATTCATGGCGTGCCACCAGGGCAACCTCGAGGTCGCCAAGCTCCTCTCCTCCTACGGCGCCTCCCGCGCCGCGGTGCCGCCCCTCGGCACGCCCGAGGAGGCCGCGAACCGCGAAGGCCACGCCGACCTCGCCGCCTGGCTGGTCGCCGGCCGCGGCTGGACGCCGCTCCAGCACCTCGAGGCGTGCCCCCAGACTGGCGGCTGAAGAAGCGTGAGTGCATTGTCCTCACGCTCACTGTCCCTCTTCCCGCAGGCGCTCACCGTCGACCGGGCGCGGGCGCTGCTGCGAGGAGGCGCGGACTCTTCAGCCGGCGAGCCGTCGGCCCTGGAGCGGGCGCGCGTCCTCTGCTCGTGGAGCGAGTCGGATCCGACCGCTGCGGCCGTCGGCTCCACAGTCGCGGTCCACTCTCTGGTCTCGCGGCCCTCGATGAACGGGAAGGTCGGCGTCGTCGTCTCCGCGAACGCTTCGACGGGACGCTTCGGCGTGCGCGTGGCGGGCGAGGCCAAGGCCCTCGCACTGAGGCGCGCTATGGCCTCTCCCTCACTCGACGGATCCTCGCTTTGGACACCCCCATGCCTCTCCCCTTCCTCAGGCCGGCCAACCTGGAGCCAGCGGCCGAGGCGGTGGAGGTGGGCAGGCTCATCCTCAAGGCTGCGGAGTGGTCGCCGCAGTCGCACGAGCTCTTCCCGGAGGCGGCTCGCAAGTGGGCGGTCGAGGTGATGCGGCTGGGCTACCTGATCGCGTGGGACGAGGAGCGCTTCGACGGCGAGGGGGCGGCGCCGGGGCTGGTGGACCTCTGGCGCAGCTTTGTGCTGCCGAGGGTGGTGGTGCGGGCCGCCGCAGGCGCACCGCGTTCCCCATGATACAACGGCGTGTCTTCTGACTGGAGTCTCGAGTTGAGAGCTGTTCGAGGTTCTCTGTGTGAGTGCTAGAGTCTGTTTTTTTTTTGAGGTGAAGTGTAGAAAAGAGACGCCGTGGGTCAACCCGTCATGCGGCAGGTGCTTGCTTTGGCTCGCTGCCACCGCGGTGGCTCACCAAGGACTTTTCAGCGTGCTGCGTCATCACCGCGCGGCGCGCAAGCCACGCCTCACCCGGGCAAAAAGAACGACCGCGCGCCGCCGCCGCCCGCCTCGCCGCGCCGCGCCGCCCCGCGCCTCGCCTCGCCTCGCCTTGCAGCAGCGCACGCGCACACGCACCCACGCGCCCGCGCTCGCTCCGCGAGAGCGAAGCAACCCTCCAAGCGAGTTCCGAACCGGGAGCCAAAAGGTCCCGGCTCGAACCGCGAACCGGTTCGACCACCGCCGCTGGCGGTTCTTGCAAAGGCATCAAAGGCAGTGCTTGATATAACGTGAAATAGTGCGAGCGCGCGAGATACTCACCCGACCCACCGTGCCCTCGCGAAAGAGATCTCGCGCCGCGCGCGCTCGCACACGCCGCCCGAGAGCACTCCCACCCCCGCCGCCTCGCAAGCTCACAGGTTGATTTGAGGAGAAGCAGCTGGGGGAGGTCAAAGCGGGAGAAGGCGGCACGGCGGCGGCGGCGCGGCCCCCCCCCATCCCCACG